GTTCTCTCACCTCCCACGGGTCCTCTGGCCACGGGTCCTCTGGCTGGCGCACAAGAAGCCGTTCTCTCACCTCCCACGGGTCCTCTGGCTGGTAGACACCTGTTCCGAGTGACTTCCTCCGCCACAGCTTTCCACAATCTAATTCGAGACCAAAAATCGCCCGAAGGTGCGCTTCCCGGTACGCCCCCAGAATCTCTAACGTCGCTTTCGGACCCCGTAAAGCAAGTCTGTGAAGCAGCGTCGCGCACGCCCTGTCTTCCGCTGTCGGACCTTCAGCAACGCTTCAAGCTGTCAGACCTTCCGCAACGCTTCCAGCATGCCCTCGGTTGCCTCCTCTGGCGCGCGCCCCCTTCAACCGGCGGGGTCGGCGGATATATACAATGACAATTCTAGGGGTTGATGTGGGCCCTGTGCGAGGCTGGGCGTAACAGATCGACCTGCAGGGTCGGTGCTTGCTTGCTGCAGGATCCATTTGCCGCGCCCAGGAGCAGGTGCGAGTAGCAAGTGTTTGAGATCTGGGTGACGACTAGTTGTTCGAGTTGCTTCGTGGCTTTGTGTATTGTGTTTTGGAAGGTGAAGGAAAACCACAACCTGCCCCTTTGTGCTTAGACCTTCATGCTTTCGCAAGCAAGGCTCGTTTTGTCGAACGACAGCGTTGCAAACATGTTATAACATGTTGATTTGTTGGGTTTCAGCTTTCAATGGGCTTCAGCAACCTGAACATCCCATTTTGTGTGTTCAGTTTTCAGTGTGTTCTCCACGTCTCTTTCTTTGCATCCTTGCTGCGAACAAGTGCTCAGCATAGTTTGCTTTTACCAAGTGGTCATGATCATGTATGGTCACAATCCTTGTGTCAATGATTAGGCCTTAGGTGTATTTGAAAGTACGTTTTCCTTCCAATGAGATCCCCGCATGCCACAAGGCAAAGACAACCATATAATACCATATCTTCAAGCGGCGCAGGTTATATTGTCCGGCCTCTCCATTGATGTTGGCGAAGCAGAATTGATGCGTTTTTTCTCCAAGCAAGGACCTCGGCTAGAATCACCAAAACAGATCAACGCCCAATGGCCTTGAATAATTGCAAAGGCAGGGAGCAACAAAGGCCGGGACTTTGCTGGAATTGCGGCGTTCTTTTTCGTGGTGTTTCCTCAAAATGTGACTACTCCCATGACGAACACTGGAGCCAGGGCATCGTTGCACATGCACGTGGCTGCAGCTTTGCGTCCGGGCCTACAGTTTAGAAAGTCTTTGCATCTATGAGAGGAACTGACTACGGTACCTTCTGCCAAGATCATTCAATTTGACTTGAATGAGGTCAATCACATTTCCTAGTGCTGCCGACGTCGCTACTTTCCTCGGCCGCGATGCGCATGCGTTTGCTGATGACAAGGACCGTCGGTGTCAACGCTGAGATTGATGATGTCACTTGATTCATGTGTTTACCTCGACCAGTCTTCAGGAAACACGCATAGCTTTGCTCCTCAACAGATCAGGTGGTGTGTCGCTTGACTTGACGAGCTTCAATCAACTGCTTTTCCGCCAGGCCACACCTGCTCAGATCAGGTGCGGACATGCCTCCTACAAAATCCACTACAGTAAATCAAAGCGCCAAGTATTTGCCTTACAAATAGAGCTATCGCAAGTCGTCTCTACGTTCAAACATGCTTTGTGTGGACCTCCAACCAGGCTCGCTTGCCAGCACTTCCTGCTCCAGCCCTCCAACCCGGTGAGGAGCGAACAGCTTTGTGGGTTGAAGATGGAGATGTCCAAAAGTGCGGCAATTTCCCAGAGGGTATTCTTTTTTGTATTCTATCTACCTGAGGATGATTTGAATATTAGGACTTAAGAAACACATCCTTGAAAGAGGAACCATCGTCCATTCTGATCAGCTGGACTCCATTGCAGCTGGCTGTTGGCTACGTGGGGTGCTGAGGTAATGAGATGTGAGACAACCGAGCTGATTTTGGGTTGGAGATGGAGCCACAGAAAGTGAACATATCCTTGTTTCCCGATGCATGCACGGGCTTTTCTAGCTTGAGACATCCTATCAAAAGATGACATGACCAGGTCGTCGAACTGCGCCCAGCAGGGGCCAAGGCGCCTGGCGGTCCACCGGTGTTGACAGGTCCACGATTGACCATCAATGATAGTTCAAAAAAGGCGCACGCTGGTCACCGTCCCCGTGCTTGACACTTGCACAGAGGGTAGGGAGAGGAAGACGTCTTCCCTGTCGATGCTCTTGATGTCAGGCTGAGTGGGCACCTGTGGATGTGGGCACTGGCGGGTCTGTTCAGCCTGGCTACTTCGCCCAGAGCTGTTCCTCCTGCAAGGCGACATTTCTTCTGCTTCCCGGGTGAAAAGCAGAAGGAACACACTCCAGTCTTAGTCAATGAACTTATGACATGCTGACGAAGCTGATTTCGTTCTTTTTTCCACGAAGGTTGCTGGACTTCGACCAGGCCTTGCATATGAGGCTCTGGACCCATGATTGGCCATTTTCGGCTGCGGGTGGCAACCAGTGCCGTGTGCCAGCCAAACACGGCCTTTTTGATGCTTCCAAACGCTGGCGTGCTGTCCTTTCGACGTTCGATGCAGATTTGGTCAGGCTCGCGTGACCTACATTTCATCATGCAGTTGTTGCTCCGAGGCCTGAGGCCCATCTTCTCATTTCGGAGATTGGGAGGTGCCATAAGTCTTAGAGTCCTATAGAGATTGATTTTTTGTTGCGGACAATACATTTACTGTCGTCATCGGCCTGTATGTATATATATAGCTCCGTTTTGCATTTTTTTGCATTCTTTGCTCCTGCTGCTGCTGCTGCTGCTGCTGGCTTGCTGTTTTCACCCGTGGCTCAATGATTTTGTGCTCGTAGGGAGCTGAGACCACCACTCACCTATTGCAAATCCAGTGCATAAATGTGTACTGGTACGTTTGTTCCTTACTGCCGCACAAACGCATACCATGCCTTTTTCACTTGTAGTGGTTTCGTTGTGATTTCGCTAGATCCTGGAAGGTACATGCACCACTTTTTGTAATTAGCATGTTTTAGGTACTTCTTCCACCTGTGATGGTATACTCCAAGGGGTGACCACGCTTGGTCCGGTATAGCTCGGACAAGTGGTGGACGAAGCACTGATGCAATCCCATTGCTTTGGAAAACAGAAGGCTATTTTCACAGCGAGGCAAGGGGGCCTCTGAGAAAGCTGATCATTCTGAAAAAGCTCCTAGTAGCTTCTTGTTCCTAGTAGTAATGCCAGGCGCTACTAGTAGCGTCCTTGCTCCTAGTAGCGATGCCCTTTGCTCCTAGTAGCGTCCTATACCCCGAGGCCTCGGATGCATCCACACCTTGTGCACCGCGCGGCAGGAAGCTCAAACACTGGTGATCGAGACTCAAGACTCTCTGTGACTCACTTCAGGTGAATATAGAGTGCCAAGAGAACCATCGTATCAGCACCCACTTCCAGTGGCATTCTTAGCGCAGACAGGTGAAAGACAAATCAGTTTACAATGCCTTAGAAATGACAGCCAGATGTGAGTTCAGCGTTATTTCCAAATGTGCCGTGACCTACTGTTATCCAGTGAAGTCAGTTCCCTGCAATGAATTGAGGCGAACCGTGCCCAAAGCGGTGTAGGTGTAGACCTTAGCGTGAAAGAAACATAATCGGTGTTTTCTGCATTTTTCTTTCAATCATATCTAAGACACGTTTCATTTTGTTTACTTGATGTCTTTTAACTTTTGACTATCCGTTTATGTCTACACTGAGTGGATTTACGTTATCAAAGGGCTTACTAATTGCACCTTTGGTACTGCTCCAGGCTACCCTGGGCTCTCAACTCCCACTTGGCGCTGCGGCACGCTTCAACTCATGAATCTTGAATGTCTATGAACATGTTTCAGTATCAATTATTTCTCCCCGCTTCGCACACGCCCACCTGACCATTCTTGCAGTCCATGGTGCGATGGTTCCTCCACCCTCAGTGCCAGAAGTGTTGGCCGGAGACGAGGCGAGCAGGGGACCAACATGTTCGCAACAACAAGAAGCATATTCGAGCCTGTAAAACATCATCCTAGAACTCTGGACCAAAACAAGTCCCAGAGCCAGAATCTAGCAATGGTCTATACTTGCAGACAAGACTCCCAAGACTCTTTGATCCATGTGTGAGGCTGGCTTCTCAGTTGCTGTACGCTGGCCTTCGGTTGGGCATGCAGCGGCCTATGTCATCGAATTCCGAGAGGCATGGCAAGCTGTTGTGAATCGGTTTACTGTGACAGGATGGGGGCAATATGGGCAATCTAGTTTCTTAAGTTTGGCCCAGTTGCCCGTAGGCGGCTTCTTAAAACAAACTACTGGGTAACCTGCTACTAGCTAGGACGCAGGATAGCTCACCCTTCTTCAAGGAGGCTCCTTGAAGAAGCGCTCGCACTATTGATTTGTGCCACCCAAAGTGAGCAAACCTTTGGTTGAAATGGACACCAGCTTCGTTTCACTAGCAAGAGACACCTTTTTCAATTTTTTTGGGGAAGCTGGAGCCTTCGCAGCAAGTTGCGTGTGGTGCGAGGCTGGCTCAACACAAACCGAGCGTTTTGTTCGCTCAGCAGCTCCAACAACTCCAGGGACTTTGGTCGAATTGAGAGTCTGGAGACCCAGATTCGAAGCACTCTTGATGGAGCAGATGGGCCTGCATACATTGCAGTGTCGCCCTGACGTAGCAAGGGTGATGGAATCTTAGATGATCATCCCTGGCAGTGTGGGGGTGGTGTGACTCCAATGGCCAACTTTGCCTGTCAGGTTGGAGGTTTACGTCCTGTGCCTGGAAGAATCTATGTCGCGCAGGTCAGACTCGTGTCGAACACAGGGTCTTTCCAACCAGTTGATGAAACTCATCTCTCCTTCCTATTACACCGGGTGTGTTGGGGGAACTTGCCCTTGAGACAAATCCAATCAACTCTATTTAAGTTTGTCTTGGTTTTGCCAGGTTCGATGTGTGGCTCAGTGTGGATGTGAGTCTGCACCGCTTCTTGCTTACATTACTTATTACTTTGTCAAGACTGCTCTCAATCTGTGTCTGGACAAAGGTCCGCCGCTGCGTGCTCACCTCCTTTGGGTTGCCCAGTGCCAGACTCCGCTAGCCCAGGCAGGACATTTTGCTGAAGATTTTCTCACATCCTTGCAAGATGAGACGTGCGTTAGCCGTTTTACTCGTGAGGGATGATGGCTGAATCTCCGGACAGCGCAACCGCCACGATTCACATGTTACATGCTTCTCTTGTAGGTGGGCATATGGTTCCATCGCAGCTGCTCGATCGCACAACTGATCAGACTCCGGCCTGCCGCAGGCAGAGGAGTGAGTGAATAGAACCAATTTGGTGCAATTTGTGCGCTTTGTTGAACCTTAGGTGGCCCCCTGAGGCGTGGGATTCACGGGATGTTGGTGAGTTCTTTGAGAGCAGCAAACTTGTGCTTTATGTGTTTGGCCATATTTTGCAGGGGACGAGTGCCTCTGTACAAATGCCGAATGGCTTTGCCTTCGGGACTTGGTCATCCGGTGGTTCACTCGGTGAACGATTTAGAATTTGTGACCAAATGAGCCAGGAGAGTCCAAACCTACGAATTTCCAGAACAGTTCTCCCTCAATTTACCACAGCCTGACAGTCTCCATCCGGCATGAACCTCACCACCTGCACTTCAGGTCCTGGTCCTGGTCCAATGGCGGATGCCTCGCCTCTCTCTGTGCACATCGCGACTTCTCCAGAGGGAAGTCGGGCCCATGCACCACACAGCTGGGATGCCCAGAGTAGATAGCAGCTAGACTCAGCTAAGCAGCATGACACACTTAGATTGTTGCTCGCAAGAGCTAGGATCAGTACGAAGTTCCCCTTGACTTGATGGAACGGAAAGAAGCGCAAACCGCAAGGTGAAAAGTCCGATCATTTGAAGGTGTTATAACAAGTTTTCTTCAGCTCATTAGACCTTTAATGCACAACACCGCATTGGACAGCTTGAAAACCGTTTGAACATATGTAGCAGGTACGTCAGAGTGGCCAACTCTGATGTCACCAGATCAAATGGGCGTCTTCGTTGAGAGCGGTCCCAAATGATCTGCCGCTACCCCCTGCCTCTTTTTTCTGCGTTGAGAAGCTACATGTTAGTAGCGATACCAGGAGCCCTTAGTAGCAAAGCCAGGGGCCCTAGTAGCGTTCTTTATGACTCAAAACCTTAGGCACAGGTGTGGACACACACACACACACGAAGCCGTTCTCGGCGCACTGACCCTTGCTGGCAGCTTAGTAGCATGGCCAGGAGTCGCTAGTAGCGTCCTTACACCCTGTAGAAAGGTCAGAGGTCCCGGTAGTACCGTCCTGGCTCCTGGTAGCGAGGCCAGAAGCCCCTAGTAGCATCGTTTGTGTCCGCTGGTCGCAAAACTTTGTACACATAGCGCCAATATTGGCGCTTTTTTGAAAACTACTAGCGACCTAAAAAGCCTTAGAAAGACAGAAAAAGCAAACAAACAAAAGCAGACTAAGAGGGCAAGAAGGAAGGATAGGTGTAGTTACGAGGCCCACTTAGTTAAATGAAAGTAGAACGCGGGCTTAAACCGCCCGGGTAGCTAGCAATAGGGTAGGAGGAACAGAAGGAAAGGCACCAACGCACAAGTGTGTTGAGTGCGATTTCCTTCTGTTGCCCGAATAGCGGGTGGGATAGCAACCAGGGTGGCCCGTAGGCCCTGCCATCATTGGCATTCAAGTAAAGCCGATTTGGGCCGGCGCACCCCTTGTCTGAAAGACACCTGGAACCTAAAGAAAGGCCTCAAGAAACGAAAAGCAACAAAAGGAGAGAAAGAACCGAAGAGCATGAAAAACACATGCAACAAAAGCACATGAACTTGTGCCCTGCCTAAAGTACTGTGCCGAATCCCGCCTGTGAATACTTAGACGCATGTTTCCATGATGGTGCAAATCCAGAGTTTGGATCACAGTGAGCCCTGCGGCATAGAATCAGTGGTATCGTGCATCACCGCCGATCAAGGAGAACCAAAAGAAGTTCAGGATTGCAGAACGGAAATGCAGTAGGATCAGTAGGATTCCCCCAGGATCTGGGTCTGTGCACATGCGGTGCCCCTTGACGGGGATCACACCAAAGCCCTCAGTGGGACCCTGTGGCGAAAACACACTTAGATTGTTGCTCGCAAGAGCTACGATCAGTACGAAGTTCCCCTTGACTTGATGGAACGGAAAGAAGCGCAAACCGCAAGGTGAAAAGTCCGATCATTTGAAGGTGTTATAACAAGTTTTCTTCAGCTCATTAGACCTTTAATGCACAACACCGCATTGGACAGCTTGAAAACCGTTTGAACATATGTAGCAGGTACGTCAGAGTGGCCAACTCTGATGTCACCAGATCAAATGGGCGTCTTCGTTGGTAGCGGTCCCAAATGATCTGCCGCTACCCCCTGCCTCTTTTTTCTGCGTTGAGAAGCTATATGTTAGTAGCGATACCAGGAGCCCTTAGTAGGAAAACCAGGGGCCCTAGTAGCGTTCTTTATGACTCAAAACCTTAGGCACAGGTGTGGACACACACACACACACCCCTGAGAGCAACATTGATGTCTCCCATGATGTTCATTTGCACTGCATGGAGAAGTAGGTCGCCTCATGGGAAGTGTGCATGTTGCCTCGTGGGCGCATCAAGTTCCAGGTGCTGAAAACACTTTGGCAGCCGCTCTCAAGGAGAAGGGCTTTCATGTCTCCCCGCATCAAAATGAAAGGAATCTCCCCCTCCCCACCAGAGGTTTAATTTTTAAATGTCAAAAAAAATCACATTCCATTGCTTTGTTTCCAGATTCTCAGGGGTGTGGATCGAAAAGGATTGGCCATGTAGGGGTAGCACGTGCGGACGACCTTTCATAACTTCACCTGTTCCCACACCAACGGGGACGATTCCACAGACCAGTTGGATCAACTCTGCAAGGGAACGACGCTTTGAGCTTTGCCGATTGCAAAGCATCGTGGATGGCCACACCGCAGACCCAGACCTCTTACAGTATATAATCGAAAGGGACAGCTAAGTAAAACTCAGAGGCTTCTCAGCTCAAAGGAAGAGAAGTAACTAATCAATTTTTTTGAGGTGTAACAGGTCCCAGCAGCTGTACCTCCTTCCTCTTTAGGTCTTAGTTGAACCCTGGGTGCCCCACTGCGAGTGGCAGGAGGCAGATGTGCTGAATCATGCCCAGCAGCTGAGATCTTTTCTTGGAATGCTCTGCTTTTCGGCACTGCCACAGACATACAACAGCTTTCTATAGCTTTCTAGTCATTTTCGAGGACCTTTCTGAAAGGTGTACCCGCGTTTGTTTTGGCGGAAACCGACCGACCACCTGAAGTGCAGTTCAAACCCTCTCAGGCGCCTCTCATTCCACCGCCAGACGCACCGCCCGGTGCCAAGGCCTTCCTGCAGGCGGAAAGTTGGGTTTGTTTGTTTGTGGCCCCCCGTTCTCCTAGAGTCACCATGGCATGGATCCAGAATCCTCAGTTTGATGATTGTCAGACTCCACGAGACTCCAAGCGAGCAGTGGAAATTTGGGGTTTGCCAGGATTTCGGGGAGAAGGCAATCCAGAAGGAATTGCCTCCTGAGGCACCTCCTTGCGACAGTTGACAGATGAATCATGTTCTTGAACATTTTTAAACTATAAACCGAAGAAGTCTGCAGCCTTCGAGGTAACTGGTCAGGAAGAATGCCTTATCCTAGATTGATGTCAAGGCCCAGTTTCTTGGTTGTCCTGTACCGTGCGCGCAGCAGCTCTTGACAGAGTAGTTCACAGGCCCAAATTCCACGGATGTCAGCTCATTTGAGAGCTGTCAGAGGAGATCAAGTGTCATGGAGTGAAAGATTGCAATGTTCGCTGTAAATCCTGTTTTGATGCAATTAAAAATCACAAGGCACTGGAGACAAATGCTGAGCTCTCACAGAAACCTTTTTGTGGGTCGGAATGAAACAAAGAAACGCTTTGGCAGGATACGGGCTTGGGCGCACAAGACGCTCTGTTGCGCTTAATAACCTTATGGGTGAGGACCGAAGTCATCCTAAAAACCCACACATTTCGCTTGCCGTGCAAAGCCCATCTCGAAACGGCAGGAAGAGTGCCACCCAGGAAGCCTGATGGCCTTTCACTCTGTTGCACGGGTGGTTTGCACCCCTCCTGTAAAGGTCAAGAATTGTCAACGAAGCACCAGATTCATTTGGGACAAATGCACGTAGAGTGTAGAGGACCGTTGAGGATACCACATGCTTTTCTTCAGTTTGGGACCGAGTTGTGAACATTGGATAACATTGGCTGTACTTCAGAGAACATGTAGTGTCGGCAACAGCTGGATCTCCAGAAGATACACTCTTCATGGAAGAAATTCTAGATATTGAAGGCTCACTTCAGGAGAAGCCCAGCTAAGTGCATTTGAGTTGGCTCTGCAATTTCGCAGAGACCACAAATTCGCCAAGAACGGACATGACACGAGTAGCTTTGGCCTTGTCGTGGCAGTGATACCCTTAGTAGTGCGTTTCAACACCTCCGCTGGATACGTGTGCGGAGAGCAGAGCAAAAGATATGAGAAGCATTGCAGATGATTTCGGACCGCATGTTTTCAAGCGCTGCTTCCTATGGTCCTATTTGCTTTTTCTCTTCATCACTTCTCTGAGTGCTTTTCTTTCCCTCAGCGCTGCCTGGCTCATGTCAGTGAACAGTTGCAAGTCAAATTAAACATCATTTACAGCGTTTTAAAGCCACATTGCATACGACGTATGCCTGAAAACCCCAGTCGTAATGGGTGTTGCAACTCGCAACGACCGATCAAATCCTCGCTCTGCCAGGGACCAGTTCCTCCGTCTTGGTCCGTCCCGAGTTACGCCGGTAGTCCTGGGTCTCATCTCCGGAGTCTTCGTCTCACCAACAAGATCGCCATGTCTCAGGCACCACACACCGGTGGACATGTTGTGCAGATTCAAGCCAGAGATTTGCCAAAGATGTCAACAAGGGCATCGCTACTAGTAAAAAGTGCATCGCTAGCAGTAGCTAGAAGCTACTAGTAATAAGGGCATTATAGTAGCAAGAAGCTACTAGTAGCATGGACCTGGTCCAAGTGCTTGGCGGTCTACCATCACCGTCGTTCGTGAGGCCATGCGATTTCGACGGAGCCGTGTTGGCGTTCCGTCACTGCTGTTGGTATCGCTCTGGCCGGGGTCTTTGATCAAAGCAACCTCGGCACAAGCAATTCCAACTGCGATGGAGAAACTGTTCCAAAAGGGAGGGAACTGAACGAAACAATACAAAACACGTTCTTTGTTTTTTTGAGGGAGCAGGTGTTTCTTTTTGTTCACTTTGCCAGCTTTGCTTCAATCGCACCGTTTGAGGTGCCTTATGTTTGCGGAGAAGGCCTTTATTGGAGCCAGGCCTGACCTCTGAATAAACCCTGCCGAGTGTCACCGTGCCGACTGTTTCTCTTCCAGGCCGCCACGAAGTCACCGAGAACTGCGGGCTGCGGCAGGCCGAGCATGGCCAAGCCCAAACAAGCCGAAACCACGTGCAGCGGCCAAGAAGACCATGTCAAGACTCAAGACTTTGGTGAAGGACTAAGAACTTTCTTTGTTTGGCCGACCTCGTACTATATAAGTAGGTGCCTACTTATATAAGCAGGCAAGAGAGAAGAAAGCTACTAGGCTAAGTTAGACGCAGGATATCTCACGCTTCTTCCAGGAAGCTCCACCTGAGAGCGGGGGGCAGCTCCCTGGAAGAAGCGCTCGCACTAATGACTTGGTTCCTGGATTTTTAGGGAAACTTAAACACGTATCAAGAAGCTACTAGGGGCTCCTGGCATCGCTACTAGGAGCAAGGACGCTACTAGGGGCTCCTGGCCTTACTACTAGTAAGCTACTAGTGACAAAGGGCATCACCCCCGAAAGCGCTTCGGATTCCTCTTGACAGCCACGTCCGACCAATTTTTTTTCGACGGAATCCAACAAGTTCATTCTCCAGTTTCGATGTTCCTTGCAAGCAGGTGTTGATGTCATGGAGCGAGTAGATGTTTCTGGCTCAGATATTGCTTTGCAAGGTGTAGGAGTGGGCTGGCTGAGAGACTGAGGTCCAGTCCAAAGAAGAACTTCTAAAGGAAGGGCAGTTCGTGACCGTGTTCAAATTTTCCAACATTTCTGCCATACCTTTTGAGTGCTTTTGCCTTGGCATGACAAGATTTGGAATTGGTGAAGACACCCATAAATTGTTGCGTGGGTGCTTCTGCACGACGAACCAGGCCTCGGAATCCTTGCAGATCGAGTTGGAAGCGGTTGAAAGCAAACTTCGCCGAGCCAACGCGCACCTCAGCGATTGGCATGCTAGGGTGAGGAAACAGGACAATATCCAACACAATCCAATTCTTTTGTTTTCTTTCCTAAAACAGCCTTAGGGTTTTGGAATCAATCCAGCCTGATTCAAGTCGAGTTGAGTTTTCTCAGGTTCAAGCTGCCAGAAGCTACTGGACTTAGAAGCGAAGAGATGCTGGCTCAATTGGACTTGCTTGGAAATGGCCCCACAGATGTGGTACTCTGGGTAATAGTAAACCAGCTCCTCAACAACATATCATCTAATTTTGGATCCCCCTTTTGGCAGGTTACCCTCAATTATGGTACCTTTTTTTTCAGAAAATCAATGTAATTTAGTATTCGTCCCAAAAGACTAATTAGCACACATCCCCATTCCAAATCCATATCTATAGTATCTACTACTACTGCTGCTGCTGCTGCTACAACTCCAGAGGACCATTATATCGGCCCCCTCCGAAAAATCGGCCAAAAGATCAACATTGGAGAGGGGGACGCCCACAAAAAAGAATCTATTCTATTAATTACATATCACATAATGCATATCGTATATATGTGTGTCCCGGTTTGGCAGCCAGGCGCAGTCTTTGCTGACGAGGATCAAAGAAGTTTCAGACCAGTTGAGTGCCCTTGAGGTGCCAGGCGAGACTTTTTTGCTGACCTTTGAAGCTCCGAGTGAAGCAAAACCGTGTTGGGCGTTGCTGTCCGAGTGGACAACTTTTGGCCGCCAGAACCTGAAGCACCTCAACCTGAACCAGAAGAGGCACCTGCAAGCAACATCAAATTTACGAAGTGTTCGTTAAACACCTTGCAAATTCAAATTCCAAAGATCAATACAAAGCTATGAATTAGTTAGCCAGAACATGAAAATTGTAAGTTGAACCCAGCAGGAAGCTGCAACCTCCGGTACAGATTCAGGCCATTGAGAATTGGGATTGAGCTTTTTGATTGTCAGTTTCAGTGCTGTATGTTGCTCCTTAATTTTTGAATCAGACCTACAGAGAGCCGTCAATTGGTCCAAGGATCTCAGAAGGCTCCTTTGTCGGAACGGCTGAGCTGGGAAAAGTTCGAGGTCGAGGGCTTGATGCTCCTGCCCTTAGTAGCGTCCTTGCTCCAGGCCAGGAGTCCCTAGTAGCGATGCCCTTTGCTCCTAGTAGCGTCCTTGTTCCTAGTAAGGCCAGGAGCACTCGTAATTGGCGTCCTTGCTCCTAGTAGCGATGCCCTTTGTTCCTGGTAGCGATGCTCCTGTTTAGCTTAGCGTGTTCACCACATCAACCTGCGGGACCCCAAGGCGATGTCGAACGAAGAAAAGATGGAGTTGACGCAGGAGCACGACATTGACCCAGTGAGGGGACACTAGAGTCAGCCAGCATATACATCATAAACATTCATAAACACATATAAACATACAGAAGCACATAATAATCAAAACAAGTACCACTACTACCACCACCACCACGACTACTACTACTACTACTGCTGCTGCTGCTGCTACTACTACCACCTACCACCTACCACCTACCTCCTACCACCTACCACCTACCACCTACCACCTACTACCTACTTCCTACTACCTACTACCTACTACTGTATTTGCACGATTGTACACCTGTACATACCATATTGACCTCTATGTTTGGCTCAAGAAAAGGGCGCTCTACATGTTGGTACTTGTAGGCTGTTGGCCTGTAAATTCAGGTTATCAGCCGTATCGCCAAAGAGCGGTACGCGCCATTCTAGCTGTGTCACCTACCCACCCTCGTTCTGCGCACACGTGAGGTGGCATGGCGGACAGGCCCTTCGAACCAATTCGAGATGGCACGGATCGATCGAGGTCAAGAGTCGGTGATGCCGATGAGAATGGGTCATATGTACAGACGGAAGTCTTCACCTCAGAGCATGATGAGGATGCATTGGTTGAAGCACATGGGAACGTGTTGCCACCAGCTACATCGACTGGTGCGGTTATCCTGTCTCCCACGAGCCCTGCCTTTGTTCCGTCGAGTACATACAATGATTCGAGACAAGTCATTAACCAAACGGCGAACTTCCACGATCAAAGAATGATCAACGTCAACCTGGACAAGTCCGCTGAGGTCGCACAACTTGCAGAAGCGCGACACAGGGAACTGATGTCCAAGAAAGATGAAGAAGTGAAAAAGACAGTGGAAGCCATTCACCGAGAGGCACACGACCATGTCAAGGAGCAACTCGAGTTACAAGAACGAAGAGCTGCATCTTGGGCTGCAAACGAGCAAGCTAAGATGAATGCACAAGAAGCAGTCATCAAGAATGCTGCGTTGACTGAAGCTCAACTATACAATCACAACTTGACAGAATTACAACAACAAGCGCAGAGTCGTGAATCGCAGCTGAGGGAAGAGTT